TTTCTTTCCTGGAATTGAATGAGGATAAATAACAACCGCTAAGACTAAGAGTACTAAGAGTGTTTACCTATAATACGAACGCAAGGACACAGCTTCATGGAAAAGATCATTAGATCTCCAAGTGTACCCTACAGAAGCCAAAATTGCATCACCGTACACTTTTTCGCCTGCAAAGTAAGTTGCCCTGACATTTAGAGATACTTTAGGCTCTGCCAGGTCATCAGAGGGAAGCTGTGGGGGAGCAGAAGAATATATTCTCACTTCCGAGGAAGCCTTGCCAATCACTCTACACAAAGATCAACTCATTAGTATAAGAAAGGATATCACTATTAGGTGGCGTAAATTTGGTTAGTAAAAGGAAACCGGCCTCCGGTTTTCAAAACATGAATCACGATAAAATAGCAAGATTATATTAATTTATTTATGTATAGAATTATAAATATTATGGTTAAATTTAGTGCTTGCTATACATAGTAGATTGTAAATTGAAGAATCCCAGCCAGTGTGTGATAAAAACTTCCTGTATAAAGTGAAAAAGATTTTCGTTCTTGAAAATACACACCAACCATTTATAGAACATCTTATTCCGCAATGTAACTATAAAATGCTGAAATAAGCTTTTGGCTTGAAATTAATCGGGGTTCAGACAGAGTTTGGAAATTAATATTAAAAAAAAAGTGTAAATGCAACTTCTTACCTAGAAATCAAAACATTTGAAGCATCTGCCAAACATAGCTCACGAGCAATAACATCTAGATAATAACCAGTTGAAGCAATATTAAGCATCAAAACTTGAACAGCTTCTCCAAGTGAAGCTGGAATTCGTATGCATTCAACTGCAATGCTTTCTGACAAGCTCGACTCGTGGTTCAGTGAAGCAATGATCTCAGGAGGGTATGGACTTTTCCTCTTTAGTGAAAGTTGCTCGTCGGATATCAATAATAAATTAGTCATTTTAGCAGCTGCCTTCAGAATCAGTGAATTAACCTCAGCAGCAGGAGTTATGTACTTGCATATGTTACTAATCTTTGCATCATGAATTGCAATAACTGAAACTGGAAGATATCCATTTAAAAGGCCCTCTCTTCTTAATACTGCTCTTAAGTGACTGCTGAGTGGATGGAGAGACGAAAGGAACTTCCTTGTTTTTAAAGAAAAAAGAGAAACACAGAGGCAAATAGAGAAAAGAAAATTTCATTTCAGTCTCAAAATAAATTTCATTTTATCAAACAAAAAAATGCCTGCTCAGAAGTACAATACAATTCATTGGAAAAAAAAATAGAACTAAATTTTAAAAGCATGATTAAGTATGAATAGCAGTTAGCAACACTCTTTCACAGATTTAGAAGCTAAAATTGTATACAGTACTACTGCTGCAACTCATACACATACTCATCATACCTCATTTGCAAACATAAAAGCAATACGAGCTCCCAAATCATCCCACGCTTCCTCTACTGTGGGATTGTATTCGGCCAGACAGATACCCAGCTGCAGCACAAGAATTTGAATTGTTCGTCAACATTAAGTNAACAGAAGTGGGACTACAATAAAACTTAAAAGACGCATGTAACACAAATTTATTTGAAAAAAGAAACAACAAAACAAAAATCTGTATCCAGGAGTACAAAATCCATTAAAACACATATAACACACTTTTCTTCAAAATAAGAACCAACAAATACAAAAACTCCATATGCAGAGAAGAAAATATCGCAAAAAACAAAACCTTTTCTATTGCCTTTTCGGCAGCCGATTGTTCAGCGTCCTTTTTTCTTTTAAAGGTGTCAGAGACAATAGTAGCATCTGGGAGATGAAGAGTGCATCGATAAAGACATGGTCCCTTCCGAGAGATAGCTAGGCCTGGGCATACATTTCCACTTGAATCTTGCACTTCCTCGATTTTATAGCAGGCCTTGTCACCAAACTTTCGGTTTATAATTGCTTTTGGGGTCAGAGGTGCCTTCTTTGTAGGGTTTGCTGGGGATTTTTCAGTTCCAGCCATCTTTCCCCAGCAGAGGATATTGTGATAAAAGAGCCTAAATGTTGTTTTACATGTATTTTCAAGAATGCGCACTCAATATATCAAGCCTTCTGCATCAAACAAACACCTGGGAACACCAAGTCTACATCAGGATTAAGCAAAAGACAAAACACTCGATAAAGCAACAATTGGAGCCAAATGTATGCAACTCATCCACTATAGGGGCAGCCAAATTTCAGATTTATCAAAGAATCTTCCATGAGCAGCGGTTGGAGCTGAATTTGTGATGTGGGTAGGGAAGATAAAATGAAACAGATAAATGTATAATTTGTGTAATCTAGCTCAATTGACTCCGGAATAACTAGTAAGACTGATGCATCTATTTTCATTCTTCTTTTCTTCTCTTTGTTTGTTTCTGTTTAGTTTTCTTTTTCATTATTTTCCATTTTCCCCCACATATGTGCAGCAAGTATAGGATCTAAAAAGCTATCATGGTGGGTGGCAGGATTTTACCACAATATATTGACAAAAAGAGAAAGCAATAAGTCCACCATGCCAGTTGGATTGGAGACCACTATTGCACTAAACATTGCACAGATAATTGCAAGAAGCATCCAACAGATTAAAAGACTTCTAAGCGAAGAACCAAAACAAATTCGATTAATATAAATATACACAAAGTTAGACTGGTATCTGATCAGGGTAAAGTAGGAACAAAAGAATATAGAATCTAGATTATCTTGCCGGATGCCCTGAAAAAGTACACACACCTACAGCAAAGATGCTTGTTTGAAACATCTAAATTACTAAATCTTTCGAAAAATATCAAAAAAAAAACAAAAAACAAAAAAAAACAAACATTTGTCATTTCACTTGATCGAGAAAATACAAGCAAAACCCACCAAGTCACGCAACGAGGAGAAACAACAGTCCGCAGATATTAACGTACGGGGTTCAATTTCTTCATACGATAAAATGTAAATCCTTTGTGAATGGCGTGAAATTTTGTAGAATCACCGTCACCAACGATAAAGGTTTCAACTTTCGAACAAAACATCAAAGCACTACAATCAATAAAGGTAAAGAATAGCGTACTATGGCACTGGACAACACTGCACCTTCCCATTTGGGGGATTCACGCTTCGGGAGTGTATGCTTCCATGAAAGGGCCTCTTGGGAGCAAGAAAGAGAGTTGATTGAAGGAGAATAAAGGAACAAAGGGTCTTGGCACTTGTAAACTTTTCAGCAGCCCACGAAATTCTTGGGTTTTGGGTTTAGGAAGGAAAGATAAATCGTTTGGTTTTTGATTCGCTTTCATCTAACGCGTGTTTTAAATGAGATTTATATTTTGCACTTATTTAAAAATCAACAAATGGTATTTGCAGCAACAACAAATGGTTGGTCCAACAAATTGTAATATTATTTATAATTTTCTTAATTTAAATTAAAATATCGATTTACCATCTGAGAGTAAATATTAATATTTTCACTATTAGCCATGTGTGTAATTTATAAATTCAAAGAAAATATGAATTATCAATTCAAAAGAATTAGTTTTAGTTGAGATCAATATTATGTTACATATAATAAATATCAACTTTAAAAATATTTTTCATAAAAAATTTGAAAATTAAAAAAATAATAAATAATAATAGTAAAATTGATTTTGCGTTATTTTTTATCCTCGTTTTGGTCTATTGGACTACTTTTAATTGATTTTTGTTTGATCATGACTAGTCGACCATTAAAATGGTTTTAAGGAGTAAACTTAACCTCGAGGTCTTATTCGAATTGAGTACTTCAAGTTCGACCTTCGTACTTGTTTAATAAGTGAGATAACTCACTTTGTTTTGTTTAATAGCTCAAAAGTCTAAATGAGTTTTTCGTAAACATGAGTTGTTCATTAACGAATGAGAAAATTATCTCCTTTACTGTTGATTTACTGAATAATATTAGCAGTACGATATGGACATCTTTTCATCACAATTACGAACTATGTATTTAATTAATGATAGTTATCTCATTCCATGACAATCGGGAGGAGTGATATTCTCTTTCCCCTTCCACACACAACACTAAATCAATAAAAAAAATATTGTTTTTCTCTCTCACACCCTCGGCTGCCGTGTACCATCTTCACAAGAAACATTGAAAGAACTTATCTTCCCTAAATACAAAAGAAAACCACTACAGACTCCATAAATCTTCAATGGCCAAGAGAAGGAAAATGAGGCCAAATCCGTCAACAGTGAAAACGAAGCAAGATTAACATACTCTCGATCTCGTTGAACATCTCAATTTCAAGCACTCAAGCGTAAGGTCATTCTAAAGAAGCTCTTATTTCAGAAAATTCAAGATCCGAGAGGTTTCAAGAAACCGACTCCCACAACGGTCGAAGTTACCGTTCTTCCTCTCTCTCTCTCTCTCTCTCTCTCTCTCTCTCTCTCTCTCACACACACACACACACACACATACCATCATCTCTTCTTTTTTAGAAATTACCTTTCGATTTCAGATCCATTAAGATCTAGTTCGGCGTGGCCACGAGCGGCGGCGCAACACACGAGGCCCGGGCTGACGGAGGCTCTCAAAGGTTGATGCTCGCCTGACATGAGTGCGCGGTTGCCCGGCCCAGCAGTGTGAAAGCGGTGCGGTTGGCGACTTATTTACATATGTCGTATTTTTCTAGAATCTCATTTTTTTTTTTGTAATGTCCCGTTTCACAATTGTTTATATGTTGTTTCTTATGTATAACTACATTCGATATGAAGTATGCAGTCATTTAAAATTGTGTATTATGTTTTATACCGTTTTCAGAACTGTGTATATGTTGTTTATCCTATGTATAACTACACGATTAATATTAGAGAACTGTCAGATCATGTTTATCTGATGTTCAACAAATTATATCCTAAAGGATATGTTTGCTAACGTATAAACAACAGTATATATTGCGTATATATTACATATATCTTGAAACATGATATATACTTTTGTAAACTGAAGTATATTGCTTGTATTTGTTTACTTATCTCCGTCATTTTCATATACAAAACATAAACGTTCAATAAAAAATAATTCAGATCACACATAAGCATAATAAGTTATACTAAACATAAATGGTAGATAAACAAAATATTGTTACACACAAGCCATTGACGAATATATTGATTTTATTTGACAAAGATTTGCTTTCTTAGACCAAACATCAAATCAGTGTCAAAACTCAGATAACCTGAACAGAGATCCCCACCGTCACAATTATGTGGGCGTAAACAAAGTCCATCTCGCCACCGCCAAAGCACACTCCCTCTGAAATCCCGGCCTTGTCGTACCTCCATACGCCGAACTAAGGAAAGTATCGTCGACAACAATAATAGTTCTACAATGATTCCACGCTTTAAATGAAGCATTAAGACACATGAACACTTTTACCTCTGAACGTTTCGCCAACCATAAAATTCAGTTAATCGACATTTTGAATTCGAAAAAAAAAAATCGTCCAACCATCAAATATATGTTTAGATATACTGTATATATACATTAGATAAACATGACTTGACAATTCATTATTATTAACAGTATAGTTATACATAAGATAAACAACATATAAACAATTATGAAAAGGGATTAAACATAAAGTTAATTAAACAGAAAGTACTATCAGATATTACAAAGATCTGTAAACACAGGGAACTCGTCGAATAATAACCAAACTCGGCCACGAACTCATTGGACAACTCGTAATCAAAATAGCGAGTCACTGACACTCATGGCAGATACTACTCCAGATCGACGAAGACGTTCCAACAAGGTGGCCGGGCAGGCGGCCGCCGGCAGGCCGCCGCCCGCACAGGCGTGGCCAGCAGCAGCATCATCCCGCGAAGCCCGGTCCCAGCCCGTATCTGAAAGAAAAAATCGATGATTTTGAGGGTGTGGAGACCGATTTAAAGGCAAGCATCAAGGATTTGAGGAGAGTGCTCGACGAGAGGGGCGAGATGTTGAATTTCATGAGCAAAGGCGGTTGTGAAGCGGCAACAACGGCAACATCAGTGGTGGGAAAAGCTATGGTGGCGTGGAATTGAGGTACAGCTAGACGGGGGGTTTTTGGAGGGGGTGTGCCTGTTAAGATTTTTTTTTTTTATCCGTTTTGATTCCCTTTAATAAGTATTTCATAAGATTTTTTTTTTATCCGTTTTTATTTGAAAAGATACAAACATTCGTAATCTTGAAAATACTTATCCTCCAAAATCCTTAATTGATAAAATTTCTCACCACTTGTATATATGAAAATAAGTCTTATATATGGTATAAGTATGTAAATTTCCCATTAACGATCCACTTTAATTATTATATTCTAAATATTACTTAATTACAAATTCAAAATCTCACTCAATCATCCGCTCAATCAACTTTATTCAAAACTAGTATTCGACCTGTGCAAATGCACATATATAAATAAATTATTGTGAGTCTGTACATATAATGATTAATTATTTTTCTTTCACTTTTTTGCAGACCACATTTACAATTAAAAGAGTTGGAATATTTTTTTTTAAATTGCGTTTATCTTATTAGATGTAATGTATATTTTGGTACGTCTTTTATTTGTGAATTATTTATTATTTATTTAGGAATTTCAAATATTTTTTTATTTTCAAAAAAAAAAAATTAAATGTAACAACAATAATAACATCTAATTACATTATACGGTCAACACATTATATGGTCAACTGTCATTAATCAAAAGTTTAAAATGATTTTTGTAATTTTGAAGTGATGAGTATTAATTATTTAATGATTAAATGAAAGATTAAATACATCAAAATGTAACGGTTTTTGGAGGGAAAATTGTTAAATTGCCACATAGGTAAAATTAAATAGGTTTTATTAAATTCTATTAACTAGTAATTATATATATATATAGATAACTCACTTTAAACAATCAAATTCAAAAAAACATGTTGAACTCATAACCAATCACCTCTCTTATTCAAAATAATTTTATCCAATCAAATCCAACCAAAATTGGTTGGATTCATATCCAATCGCCACCTTAGTGTGTTATTAGACTTCAAACATCAAGATAAATTACACCGTGCCCCCTTACCTTTCAAAACAAATGTAGAGAATACAAAAGACTCAAACCAAAACCAAGCCATTTTTTACCTTCATTAACTAACAACCTGACACTTCCTTTTCATTCTTTTCTTAGTGTCTCATTAGACTTCAAACATCAAGAAAAATTACACCATACGTTATCCCCTTATCTTTCATAAGTCACAATAAAGATAGAGAATACACAAGAATCAAACCAAACCAAACCAAAACCAAGCCATTTTTTCCCCTGTCCAGCCACTCCAAAACCACCCTCATCAACAACACACCCCAAAAAAAAAAATAATAATAAAAATATCTAAATCGACGACAAATCCTCGTACACAGTCTTGATCCCGGGCCTCTCAGACACCGACCGAATACACCTCAGCGCCACACTCAGCACTTCCTTCATTCCCCTATCAGCCGCAGACCCACCTGCCACCTCAGCCGCCAGGCTGGCATCAAAGCAGGTCGACCCACGACCCTCAGCCACCCTCAACCGAACCCAATCCGCCAGGTCAACACCACAACCATCCTCACCCGACACAACCACATGATCACCCGCGCACCTGCCCGTGAGAATCTCGAGCAGAACCACTCCGAACGCGTACACGTCAGCCTTGAACGAAGGCGCGGGCCTTCGGGCCGCCGCCAGCTCGGGGGCCCGATAACCAAGGAGCCCAGCATCGAGAATCTGCTCGGCTGTGCCGGACGAGGTCATGAGGCGGTGGAGACAGCTGTCGGACACGCGGGCATCGAGGTGGGGCCCGTCGAGGAGGATGTTGGTGGACTTGAGGTTGCCATGCGGGACGGCTCGATCGAAGTGGAGGTAGTTGAGGCCTCGGGCCACGTCAACCGAGACTTTGAGACGTTGGGCCCAGCTCAAGATTCCCTTTCGTCCTGGCCGGTCTGGGTTTGGGAATTGGAGAGAGAGAGTTGTTAGATGGGATTTTTTTTCGTTTTTTGCNTAGTTTTGTTGTGAAGAATTGCTACTTTTTTTTTTCACTCTCTTTTGCAAAAATGGAACGTTTGGTCGTAGAGATAAAAATGCATGTATGGCTCAACTTGTGAGCGCAATCAGTGACCCATATTATCAGTTTTGATTGCTCAACCTATTCAGTGTTTTCAGAAAATACCAAGTAAACCTTAGAGAGGTGTACTGATTAAGTCTCCATTAAAATTCCAGCCAATTCAAACAAAAAGAAGATTTGGCAATAATAAAAAGATAATATGACCAATTCAGAATTGCATATAGTGAGGACACATATGATATGACATGCATTATGGAAAGCAAGCTCTCTTCTAGCCTTCTAAATGCTTCAACTACCTTCACAAAAGAAAATTATTTCTTGAACTTGTAAAAACTCAGATAGTTAGTTATACATGCATGGTGATTCGAGTTAAAGATTTGTGCTTTTTTTTTCACATAGCTTTAAAATGCAGATGAGATGATGCATAAATAGCAATTACCATAAAGAAAACTCGCAAGACTCCCGGGAGATATGTAGTCCGAAAGAATAAGCTTCTCGTGCTGCGTGGGGCCCCAATAATATCCTCTAACCCCAACCACATTCGGATGTCGAATATTCGCAAATCTCTTAGCTTCTTTAGCAAATTCCTTTCTTTGCTTCGCGACCCCTTCTCTCAGCCACTTCACAGTCAGCACAAGTCCATCTCCTAAAGTCGCCTTATAAGAAGTCCCGTGGCTGCTCCTCCCGAGCACCTCAGCTGGGGCCCGCGAAAGTTCTTCTGCCGTGAAAGAAAGCGTATCATCTAGAAAGTTCAGCTCGCCAGCCATCTGATCAGGAGACCCCACATCAAATTTCGAGATATTTTCTGTAGTGTTCGAATCTGCTGACTCGGGTGACCATGATAAACTGGTCTTTGAAGGGGAAAAGCCTGTTAAAGCTGCTGTTTTCTCATCGGGACTGATTATTTCCCTTTTCGATCCCTTTTGTGATGTCGTGAGATTCTCTTCAGATTTATTTGTTGAGGTTTGTTGAGGGTTCGGGTCTTTGCTGGTTATTACGAGTGGCAAAGGCTGCTTTTGTGGTTTGTTGTGCTTTCGGTGAATGAAAACGGCAAGAAAGATCAAAATGATCAGTGCAAGTAGCACACAAGCAACTGTAGTTAAGATTATGATGATGATAGTTCTTGTGTGTTTTTTTCTTGCATTTCGAGATGGAGCATTATTCGAGCCGCCAGGTGGAGGATTAGGGAACTGAAGCTGAGAATTACCTGGATAGAAAGAAGATAGAGGAAATTTTCTCAAATTTACCGGGACAAAACCGGAAAGATCGTTAAACGAGACGTTAAAGCTTTCGAGAGTGTCGGATAAGTTGTTAGGAATCGGGCCTGTGAAATTATTTCGAGAAATGTATAACGAATTCAAGGCAGTCATGTTACAAATCGAATAAGGCAAAGAGCCGTTGAGGCGATTGTCAGAAAGATCAAGAACTCGAAGATTTAAAAAATCTCCAGCAGAGGAAGGTGAAAAATTGACACTTCCCGAAAATCGGTTGCTCTGTAGGTGAAGCTCTTCAAGAGTTGACCGTGTGAAGAGATTGGTCAAAAGAGGTCCATCCAATCGGTTGAAACTGAGATCGAGAACCGAGAGTTTTGGAAATGATGTCATCATCACTTCAGGAAGAGGACCGATCAGTGAATTTCCAGATAAGTTGAGATAATTTAAGCGCAAAAACTGAGCAGTTTCTTCGGGAATTGGACCTGTTAACCGGTTTCGGCTTAAATCAAGAATTTGCACATTCCCCCATTTTAGCAGACGAGTTAAATTTCCTTCGAATTGGTTACTCGAGAGGTCAATCACTGCACAACCTCCCGTCAATGCTGGAAGTTCGCCAGAAAGCACGTTTGAGGAGAGATTAAGTGTGTGCAAAGTTGTTGATGTAATTGTAGTTATGGGACCTGTCAAGACAATCGTCCGATTAGTTAGTGCAAAAGGGATTTGAGTCTGAAATGTTATAGTTTTCTCTTAATCTCAAACTCAGCACACTTTAGATACAAGAATGAAGAAAAGAATTCAATGCTTAAAATGAAGAAAATGAGATTATAAAATTCGACGCATACCTGAAAGATTATTGCCACTTAAGTCCAACTCGGTCAGAACCAAAGAACCTCCTTTCAGAAGGTTATTAGGAACGTAACCCGAAAATCTGTTGTTACAAAGCCTCAGAACTTGAAGATCATAAACAAAACTAAAACCGGGCAACTCGCCAAAGAGCTGATTGTAGCTCAAATCAAGAACTTTTAAGCTCCCAAAAGCCTCAGCCTCACCACCACCACCCATAATCGATCCAGTTAACTCGCAATGGCTGAGATTTAAATAATTAACCGAAGGCGAAATACCCACCAGAAAACTTTCCCGCTTCTCTCTAGACGAACTCACAAGCAAATTCCCACTAAGATCGACATAACTAGCTGTAGTGAGCAGCAAAAATTGCGGATCAAACTCGCCATCGAGTTCATTGCCGTGCAAATCAAGAACGTCGAGTTTCGGCAGGAGCTCAAAACCTCTCGGTATGCTTTGGTTAAAAGCGTTCATCGAGAGATTAAGATACACTAATCCTCTCAATTTCGTCAAGGACAATGGTAACGGCCCAGAAAGAGAATTACGGCTCATGTCCAATGAACGTATAGAGGCAAGCCCTGAAATTGTATCCGGGATTTGACCGGAAAAATTATTTCCGGCCAGTGAAAGATTCTTTAAGTGGACCAATTTGCCCATGTTTTGAGTAAGTTGTGACGAAAACAAGTTGTTCGAAATATCCAAATACTCGAGGCTCTTGAATTCGCCTAGATTGTCGGGTAACCTCCCGGAAATTGAATTGTTGGAAATCGAGAGTTTTGCAAGCTTGGTTAGATTTGCAAACATGTTCAAATCAACGGTGGCAAATAATCCCAAATCATCAAGAACAATAGCTGCAACATTTTCCCCATTGCATATGATACCGTTCCAAGACGAGGGGCAACCGTTAAAATCGATGGACTCGTCATTCCAAGAACCGAGCACGAAATCATTCGGGTCGTGCTCGATTGCTTTCTTGAATTCAAGCAAAGCCATAATATCTTGTGAGTGAAGCTGCCCCAAGGCCGAGATGATACAAATACAAACCAAATAGAGCCTAAACGGTCCCATCCTAGCCACTATACACAAAAACTACACAAATTGGACACTAACAATTTATGTACAAGGTTATAAAGGTTAAAGGTTAAAAACATCAGTCAAGAGAAAACGACTCTAATCGAAAAAGAGAATCCCCCCATAAAGGAGAAAGGCAAAAAGAGCCCAAATGCCCTAAAAAGATGCAAACTTGTGACAGAAAACACAATGAGAGCCTTCTCCACACACCATAATCTTACACTTTCTTGAGATTTATGACGAAAGTCTCCATCTTTTTTACCATCTTAACTTCTGCTGTTTTCCCATGTACACAGAATTACATGAAACAGAAGCTTAAACAGAGAAACGATATACAATTCCATACCATAAATAGCCAAATTCCAACTTTTTCAACAAGGGCCATAGCCGAAACAGAGCATCATCGCGTCATTAAAGAAATGAAACGAAATGGGTCTTCAAAATCTGCGCTGTAAATGCATTGAAGACAACGAAAGCGATGTGTGAGCAAAACTGGGAGCCCCAAAGTGCAAGCCTGAAAAAAAAGAAATAAAAAAACGTATATATTTGTTTGTAAAACACCTATTACTATCAAGAAAGGCGTTACATTGGTCATCATTTATTAGTGTGTAAAAGGAAAAAAGGAAAACATTTTGGACCAATTAACTGATTAAGGATTAAATAGAAGCAGCGGGAGTTGAATTGTTCTATAGCTTTTTGAGTCATTTGTCTGTAAGTTACCCGCCAAAACAGAAAGGGGAAAATGTGGTAATGGTGGACGTAAAAAAAAATGATTTAAAATTAGTTTTGTGTGTGTTTTGAGGTCCCCTTGCACTGTGGGCCTGTTTAGGGGTTAGTGCCCTTTGACTAGGGATTCTATAATAGTATTTTGATCAGGTTTGAAAATTAAACCATAAATTCTATACAATTTAAGACAATATAAATAACTAAGATTAAATGATAAGATAACAAATTCTAGGTGAGGTGGGTAATATTTTCATATTATATATGTCTGCAACTTTGCTTATGTTGAGAGCTGTAACAAAGATAACCAATATAAAACTTTGGTTGTCTTAAAGAAGTAATATTTCCCCATTAATCATAGTCCTAAAAAGCCCCAACTCATTGGCCCGGCCAATTCCTTGGTAGGTGAGATTATCGCATTTGATGAAATATTGGAATATAACTCTAATACCAATGTTGAAATTTACAAACCTACACTTTAATATTTTAGTTGTTTTACCAACTAATAATAATAAATCCAATAACAGTTTCGCATACCCTGTTGGGAATATATTGGATATGTTGTTGTTGTTGTTTCGCATTAAAATTAAGCACTATTTTTTGAAAAAATATAACGGGCTTACCTGTCTGACTGACTGTAAAGTTGTGTAACTCTATACCTTCAACCAACATAACGCACAACATATCATAATTTGGTAACTAACTCTCAATGAAGAAGGCATGAAAAATGAAAAAGAAGCTTCACACGTGCATGTACTAGGAACCATAAACCTCTCACTTTTTCATTATTATCTTGATCTGTCTCAAATGTTATCATTCCCATTGAATTGAATGCACAAAACATAATTTTCAGGACAAACGAATAATAAATCAAATTAAACACACAAAGAGGTGCAGTAGGTGAAGGTGTAATGAGGATAAATTGAAGGGAGTGGGGTTCTGAGGAGATTAATGAGGTTGGCAATCAACAATCACATGCTGATAATTGATGCATTGGGGAAAAAGGTCCCACCTTAGAAGCAATTGGTACAATGACAGTCTGATTATTTTGAGAAAGAGTACTTGCTTTGTCATGCATGAAAAGAACATTCACTGATTAAAATATTGGAATTTTCTCAAATTTAGGTGCCCAATTATTGCCACCACTTGAAAATTCCCAACTGTACACTTGGATAAATGATGAAAATACAACAGTATAGGCAATTCAAGTACAAAATCAAGTATACAACATAACAATTTTGCATGCACTAAGGAAGCTTTTTTCAAGATTTGTCCTAAACTCTTGGGCAACTCTTTAAAGATTTGTCCTAAAAGATTTGTTCACAAATTTTTTCTTCATAAAAGGCTGGGGTGAAACAATCTTATCTTTAACTTGGGGAACTTTTTTAATAAAGCCGCCGTATAGGGTTAGTACGCAAACAATTACGATCGTAGGGGTTCATTCGCCAACAACTAAGGCAATAATCATACAAACTTGGAGGTCGAAAAATACATGCCACCAGGAAAAGGAAAGAGGAAATGGAATCGACTCTTTTCGCCATTCAGTCTCCACAATATTCTATGCAGTGGTATAGCTAATTTCAAACAGATACTGCGGTACTTCCTTAGAAATAAGGGCAAAATTGTACAGCCCCACGATAATAAATCCAGGGCGCAAGTACACATCACAACAAGTTCTTGCCCAAACTGTTCAACCAGTAAAATTTGGTATTCAAAAATAGGAAGATATATAAAATCTCACTTCTACTTCTTCCCACCGCCTGAAACGTTAAATTTGAAGAAAATAACATCCCCGTCTTGCACAATGTACGTCTTCCCTTCCTGTCGGTATTTCCCAGAAGCCTGTGAAAGAAAAAGAATGCAAAAATAGATAGTGCATATTCAGTGGAAATTTAACAAAAGCCCGAATGATGAAATTTCCTCGTCCACAGAAAATTCAGCTCTGAGTACTTTAATAAGTAAAGATTAGTAGCTCAGTATACTAGTCTTCAAAAATAGATAAATAAATGTTTGAACTTTGCTTCCAGTTGAATGCTGCTTCAACTCAAAATGTTCTCTTCCCTCTACTACTACTTCATATATCCCTCTACATATCCCCTTATTAGTTACTAATTAGTATGGCTTCTATCTTAGGTACTGCAAAGTTGATGAATACAACAACAACAACAACAACATACCCAGTATATTCCCAACAGGTTGGGGTCTGGGGGGTCAGTTGTACGCAGACCTTACCCTTGTAATTATACAAGGAGGCTGTTTCCGTAGCGACCCAAGGTGCATTGCGCCGTTTGATTTTTTTTTTTTTTCTAGAAACTTCACTAATAGAAGAAGCACTAGAATTTAATTGAGCCATTTTGATACATGAATGATATTGCTTATGTGATATAAATTGCTGGATTCATCAAGCTTATGTGATATAAATTGCTGGATTCATCAACTGTTGATGAATCCAGCAATTTATATCACATAAGCAATATCATTTATGTCCAAATCATGAATTACTAGAAGTCGTTCATAATGAACTAACAACACTTTTCTACAGAACAATACCTTCACAGCCGATTCACTTCCAAGTTCCTTCAAATCTTCAAACTTCATAACCTGTAATGCATCACACGATCAAGTATTAAATATTCATAGTGTAGTTCATATTTCAGAATACAATAGTGATCTTCTGATCCTCAAAGAATATGAAACGCCAAATGTGAAGAGAGAGGAACCAATGAAATGACGCCAACAAACATAAAACTGCAGTAACGATTAAAAGGAATTACATGACCATAAAAGTTTGTAATAAATATGGATGTGTAAGCAGAGATAAAGGCAAAAAATGGGCTAGTACCTCAGCACATATGAACCCTTTTTCAAAATCAGTATGAATTGTTCCAGCAGCCTGTGGAGCTTTCGTCTGTCGACGAATTTGCCAGCACTTCACCTACATTAGGACAAACATTCACGAGTTAAGAATGCAAGTCGAATAAACTACATCCTGAATGTGGGAATAAGCAATCTAAGGAGTACCTCATCTGGTCCAGCAGTGAAAAAGTATATGAGATTGATGGCTGAGAATCCAGTCTTTATTATCTTTGAAAGGGCACTGTATCATAACAAATTCACATCGTTTATTATTTATCATTAGTGATCACATTCCCAAGAATCACTACAAAGACAATACAAGATGCATGTACATCAACATCCAAAAAACAATCCGAGGATAATTATTTNTAGTCATGTTGAAAAGAATTGAAATGTCACTTTCATTTAAAGGATTCATCCACTCAAGTTCGTACGTTACATATTAATTGATGGCTAATGAAGTAGACTGAGAGATGCAACTAATTTAACGAGATAAGATTTAGCGGTGAGGAATGTGGACAGAGCATGTAAAAGCTCAAAATATCATCAAAAACCTCATACATGAAATTATAAAATTGATTGTGAACCAACCTTTGAACCATATTCTCTTCACAATACTTAGCAGCTTCATCTGGGGACATATCAGTGAGATTCCTCTCCAAAGCACAGCTGAAAGGAATTATAGTCTCACCACCATGCTCTTGCACCCTGGAAATCGAAGGAAACTTCTTAATATGCAGGGTGTGCAGAAGAAGAAAGGATAAGCAGAAAAAAAAAATAAGGACAAAAAAGTTACTCCAGAGGAAATAAGCAACATTAAATAACTCGTGAATAACTCAAAAGGCATAAAATAGTACATTATTAATAATAATTATACAAACAAAAACCATTGATCCAAGAAGACTGTCCCTTATTACGTACAATGCAAGATTTTAGTGACGGTTTTAGGCGGAAAATTTTCGTGTTAGAGGGGCGAGCTCACAGGGGATACGCCACACATGCAATGATTCAAATTATCAAGTACAATAAAGCATGGAAAAAATAGGTATCTCAAAAGAAACATACCAAGCATGTATCTTTGGAAGAAACTTGTTCTTTTTTCTTTGATAATCTCTCTCATTCATGTTAACCTGCACCAGATGACAGCCAAAACAGGGACAAGTTACAAGGAAATAGAGATGTTAAATATCTAAAAAGCTCAACATGAAGATGAACACAACTAAAGCATCACATATCAAATTATAGACACATATCAAACTAGAGACACCACAGCAACTACAAGGTGTGAGGAAACAATAAGCATGCCTCTATTCAACTTATTCTTATATTTGGAGAATTATTAAGGGCATGCTTGTTTATGAAATAATTCATTTCCCACTCAAAATCTAACTCAACTTTAACTCAACCCCACTATCATTTATATTATTTATATAATTAAATATTATAAACCAATCATTCTTACATATCACATCAACTTTAATTCAATATTCATCCACTCACATAATTTTAACTACCTATCATTTCCAATCATTTCCAATCATTTATATCCTACTTTTACATCAAATCATTAATAATCACTTCCAATCATTTATATCCCACTAACAATTAACCATACTATCTTTTTCAAAATTAACTCTAGTTAACTAAAATAACTCATTTTGAATGAAATATTTCATAAACAATCACGCCCTAACCATTCCGTGAATTTTACCGACTAAATAACTAGAATTAGTAATTCTGATAAAGAAGTGCTTACTGGTTAATAAAGGGGATCACATTTCTCCAGTTTATGGACAGGGATCCAAGATAAAACTAATCCAAGATAATACTACAGAAACTCTAATATCGAAACAAAATTGGATCTCCAAACATATTACTTGTCATTTGAAGCATCTTACGAAATGGGTAAGAGATTGAATCCCAACGGATAGTGTGAAATTGTTTAGAATGAATCTCGATAGAGAAAATTGAATCTCAGGAGAATAATTTCTCAGTTATAAGGAACACCGAATTCGGGATCTTGATTTAGATTGAAGTCGATAGAAACTATCACAAAAAAAAGATTGTTCACCAACGGAAGAAAGCATTTCGCCATTTCCAAAATTTTCATTTTCTAAATATATTTATGTTACTCACCAAGTATACAACAGGCTTTGCGGTGAGCAACTGAAAAGTATTCAAGATCTCAACATCAGCAGCCTTCCAGTCCACTAGACGGACATCTTTTCCCTCATCCAGAGAGGCTTTAACCTAGGACATACAAAACTATCAATCAGTAATATTCAAAATCGAAATCAACAAAAACAAGTAAATGATGCACGCTAATCCGTGGCCAATGGCAAATGCATTAAAGACACACCAGCTTTAATGAAACTTAAAACAACGAAATAAAATGGATACAGACCCTTTGGCATAACTCGTGCTCAACTTTAAGTTGCTTGTCATTGCTCCTCTTCATGCTCTTTTCGAGATCTTCAATCCTCCTTTCCATGAACTCGATATCCTAAGAGCCAAACCAGTTTAGAAATCATGGCAAATAAACAACTCCTACAACCATTAATCCTTTAAAACATTTCTGTGTGTATCGAGCCTAAATACCTATCAGGCTATCACTCACCCACACGACAAAGTAACCATGAAGACAGAAGTAGAATCAAACTTTACCTTGAGGCGCAATTCTGCAGATATAACCTCCAGATCCCTCACAGGGTCAACCGAATCATCGACATGGATAATATCAGGATCTTCAAATGCACCTACAGAAGCCAACAATTTTAAGCAGAGTGTCTGACTATAGAACTGGAAGAAATCCCATTTCTGTGAAAAAAGTAAGAGAATAACAATAGAACATGCCAAATGACCTTAGCAGGAAAAAAGTAATAAAAAGAATGACATAGCACAAGCCACAAAGCATGCCATGTAAAGAGAAACCAGATATTTTTAACTAGTGACTGGAACAACACTAGTATAAAAGCTGTATACAACTTACTTTTGCAATAAAACATAACTCTATCATCAACAATAGTAAGGTCATGCGTGCAGAGTCTTATGGCGCTAGCAGCAGCAAGAGAAGAAAACAGAGATCATTAACTTACGTAAAACATGAAAGATTCCATCAACCGCACGGATATGAGACAGGAAATTGTTCCCCAGTCCTTGACCTTCATGCGCACCACGAACAAGACCAGCGATGTCGTGGATTTCCAAAAAGGCCGACACCTATCCTCCCACAGATATCAGTAAAATTAGCAGCACTACAGATAAATAAAACAGCACCACATATCACATAGCACAATCACCCAATATATAAAATCGGGTACCAAAGAACAAAAATACCTCGCTCTTTGGCTTGTAGAGCTGGCAAAGCCATTCAAATCTCTCATCTGGAACATTCACTCGAGCCTCATTAGGCTCAATGGTGCAGAAAGGGAAGTTCTCAGCTGGAATAGACAACTTGGTGAGCGTGTTGAAAAGGGTCGACTTCCCAACATTTGGCAATCCAACCTGAAAACCAGCTAAACTCAATAACAATATAAATGCAGTATTTCATAAGACACTGAATCGATAAAGCTTTCAGAAAATTTGGCAACCCAACCTGAAAATCCAATAAACTCAATAAAAAAATTACAGCATTCCCGTAAGAAACTATAATCAATAATGCTTTAAGCTGCATATCATTCCATGATACATACAGCACTTGCTAAAACTACAATACTGACATAGGGATTAGGCAATTGATAGTTTTAAGTGAGCATACTCTTCAACCTCTCTCGCAAGCAACGGGGCAAAAAAAATTACTGGTTGACATCCAAACGAAGAAACAAACACACGAGAACAAGAAATCTTACGATTCCAATTTTGAGATGAGACGAGAAGCGTCCGAGGATTGGCCTCTCGGCCGGGGCTTCCTTTGATTTCCCTGCTTTAGGAGGCATTTTGACTGTATATCCGTCTTCTCACCTACTTCCTTACTCAGATTTATCCAATTTAAAAGAGAACAAGATGCAGGTGAATAATGGCGATCGAGGGGACGGGTAGGGTTCTAGGGTTTTTCATGGAGATGAGAGAAGTATGACCTTGTATTTCAGTCTTGTAAAGAAAATGCTACAAGTACATGATACATAATATAATATATAGAATTGTACATAACACTCACATGGTGGAGTCCACTTAATTTTTTTATTTTTTATAGGTCTCACTCAATGTAATTGTTATGTACACCCTCTGTATATTATGTATTTATGGCTTTATAAAATTTCTGATAAGTATCTATAGCATTTCTCGATTGATAATATTTTAGTCCTAATTTTGTTAGTAAAATTATTTATTTATTTTAGTCTGTAGGAAATATAATTAATTATCTTTTTGTGTCAGGTAAGTTATTTAATTAGGATTTTGTGGGATTCTATTTATTGGTTTCTTCTTATTTAATAACGAGTATGCAATGCACGGGAACATTTATTACTTACACTATGCGTAACTAGTATCTTTTTTTTTCTTCGATAAGAATTTATAAATACTACATAATTACAACTACAGCTAAAAGTTGAATCTAGTGGGAGGACATCTTCTAGGGGAGCTTAAACTACCACAACCGCACCCAAGATAATAATACTACTCTCAAAAGAAAAATACAAACTCCCAATTGAAAAGACCCAAATAAAATACAAAAATCACATAATACGCACAAACAAGAAAAAACAAAACACAACCTAATACATAGAATACGGCTCTCCCCACCAGCCCGAAGCTCGGCCCAGGACACATAATTTAAAATGTATTTTTTGTAGTTAAATTGTCTCATGGCATTAAAATATAATGAAATGAAATCTATATATTATAGAACACTTCCGTATGTACAATATTCTTGATTTGATAAGGTTTGTTTGAAGATATAAACATATAATTGATTTATTTTCAAACTGTTTATGGGATATACATGATTTTATTCACTGGATTGATATCGCAATATTCGATATGAAATTATTTTACCAGAATATCCAAAAAATTAAGGAAATGTATACAGAATAAATGGTGTTTTCTAATTGTGCATTGTTACCAAAAAGATTAAATTTAATATTGTCATCAAAATCTCATGGTTTTAAATAATAATATCAATATATCACGTAAATGCCCCTATTTTTATTCCATAACAAGTTATTTGAAATTAATTCACCCCAAATCTTGGTAAATTTTGCCAAGAAAAAAGAGTCAACAATTTTAGGATAAGATCAAATTTTGAAATTTTGCACACCGATTTCCATTAAAGATAAATGAAATTGATTTGAATCTTTATTTTTCCATTAGGATCACATGTATTTGTAGCTAAATTCAAGTCGGTTCGGTCCAAAACCGACTCGAGCCGTGTCGATTTTGAATCGAGAACTGAAGGTTCAATGAACTGACAAGTATATATATCGGGCCAGTTCCGGTTCACATAAAATGCGAACTTGAACCGGCCTAACAAGAGTGTTGTGGCACTTCTTATGACTTTCCTCCCGGCCCAAAATCGAGTTTTTGCCATGTCTATACTCTCAACACAAAATTACTCGAGTGAATTTAACAATTATGCTTTATTTTTCATATTTTTAATAAATTTAAACATTTATATTTAAAAGTATCATCTTTTTATTTCAAAATACACATAAAAATATTTATCTTTTTTGGTAAAATATAACTGCGTGTTAGACCTGTCATGCCTGTTACATATACTGAAATAAATATTTTATTGTATGTTAATATAGATTTTTTTATTATTACTTTATAAGATACTTTATGGTTTTATATGATATTTTTTATTTTGGAATGTCTTTAAATGTAACTTATAAAGATAGTTGGAATTGTATTTTTATCAAGTATATATATATATAAGACGAAATGCAAGTTAAAAGTTATAATTTTATTTTTTTAAACAAAAAAACAAGAAAACACATATAAAAAACTTAATATACTAATTAAATAAGAAAATGAAATATAATATTAGGTAATTTAAGGAGAAAAAGAAAAGGTAAAAGAGTTTTACTGTAATCTCCAAGTCTAGTTAGGGTAATATCCGAGCTTGTCTGTACTCTGAAGCAATACATGTAACATGATTTTTTGCCTAAGTAATCATACAAAGCATGTGAATCTACCAGAGGAAAAGAGATGAACAAAAAGATATACCAAAGGCTGCTTCTTTCACGAATTTAATCTAACTAATGGAAAATCAGATTTACAAGTGGTCGTATCTCGTATGCATGAAAATAAACCCTGCGAAACCGGGTGAGGGTGAGTGTAGAAACAAAAACTTGACCATTTCCTGGTCATAAATATTCTACGGTTCAGCTTTACAGACAGCAAAAAAATGGCTCTTCCTTTGCCAAGTTTTCCAGTTCAGCAGCCATCCACAGATCGACAAGTGGCACATACGCAGCAGAGCCCAGATCCAAAACACCAGTCTCTATAGACATGCTAACATGGCCAAAAGATTCACGTTCATCTGAAACGTTCACATATTGAGAATACATAAGCATAATACAGCGTTGTGATCGGATTAAGAAGACCGAAATTCAAAAAGGGATTCAAAATATATGAACTTCGAATAGCTCTGATGCGTGAACTCCAATTAATTTGCTGTTCTTGTCCAGGTATAATGCAGATATGTGAAAGTTTCCAATACATTACAAGTTGTAGTTTTTTTTCCATTACAAGCTTGTGATTGTGATTTAAATGCATGTAGTGTTTTGTTTGAGAGAAAGCATGAATTTGAGATCTAACTTTAAGTCAAACGATTTACTTACCGTCAAGGAGTTGTCACAAAAGCACAGTAGAGTCTCCCCTCAATTCCCTCCTCACCAGCTCAAGAATCTCGATAATCTGCATTACGTATTAACTTGATATGTCTGAGTAGAACAATTGTCGCTTGGAAGTAGAAAATAAATGTGGTGACGGTTAAAAGGCTTAATTTTGAGACAAAGTTCCAGGAGGAACATAGATAACTTACCCCTGGATAATGCTTTAGTACTGGAGAATAGTGATCAAGAGCAATGAATATTTTATTCAGTAATTTCAATAGAGCATCAACTTCATCTCCTAAAACATCAACCTGAAACAAGGAAAATCTATGTTAAGAAAGCTAGCAAAGCTTCAGAACAGTCAATTGCGAACATAAAAAAGGTATACCCCTTGTGACATGAACATGTTTACATTTGGGTTTATCCGAATAAATCCTCAAAAGGTATTTTTCAACTTACAAGATATATGGAAAAGAAGCAAAAGTAGCTCAAAATATACACCTTCTATCAGTGTATCCCAAACACTTCAATCCCATTCTCAAAAATACACCTCCAAAGTAACGTTTCGAACTTTCTAATCACACATTTCTCAATATTTCTACAACTTTTGAATTTGAGATTCAGACAGAAATCAACGCCATGCCAATTCTCATTGCTTTACAATTGCTGAAGCATATCCATATAAAGCAAGACGTAAGCATGATCATAGCAATGTTGCGATAAGCACAAAGAAAAAGTTCTTATAATAAACCTCAGCCTCAGCCTTATGGAGATTTGCTGTTTTTAAATCCAGTTTCTGTTTGTACATCAGTTCTCTTCTCCTAAGAACGTTAGCCATCTTGGTAAGAGCTTTCAAGTGAGAAGTAGTATCTTCAAACCTGCATGAAAGTGATGGATCCAGTAAACAACCAAGATTTTAAAATAATATGCTTTTAATAAGAATACAATTTAAGATACATTGCTTTCAAAAAGGGATTTGAATAAAAACTTAACATGCATATATATAAGATAACTGGGTGGGTGGGTGGAATTGGAGGGGGAGGGGGGGAACTAAATGGGAAAATGGGCAATAGTTCAAGAAATCACGAAAATAATGCAGATTATTCAACAACTGTAACTAGATTTTTAGCATGCTCAGGCTGTTAAGCATTTAAAGATTATACCTTAAACTATTCTTTCTGATTGCCCCTGATATTCTCCATTCGAAGTCGTCAAACAACTTTAAGAGTTCACAGACAGCCAGTTCCATTTCCTTTTTCAGTTTTTCGTCTCTAAATTCACTTAACAGTAACTTATCATGCAATTCTTGGGTTAGAGTAACTGCACTGTTCCTCTCTTTTTTCGTTTCTGTTAAATCCTCTTTGGTCTGGTCAAGCTCTTGTTGAAGTTTACGCATTTCCATTTTATTTACTTCAATCTGCTCCATTGCCTCGAAACATCGAGACTTCCACAATTCTAAGTCCCGGTTACTCTCGGTAACCATTGCCTCTAGACAACTTGCATCTTGTCTTAAATTACTAAGCTCTCGAGAAGCTAGCTCAAATTCCTCCCTCTCTTTAGACAATGAAAACGATAAATCCATTGCTAACTTCTCTTGATCTTGGAGTGCAGTTATCAGATTTTGTATATCCTGCTTTAATTTCTCATTCTCTTCAACCTCTAATCGGAATTCATTTTCCTTTTCACGCGCCTCAGTTTCCAAACAAATCCTCATTTGTTTGTCAATAAGAGCTTCAGCATCTATGATAGCCTCTTTGAATATCAACCCACTCAATCCTTGAATTATATACGATTCAATATCCGAATCTTCAATTGCATCTCTGTTCGCAGTTTCAGCTTCATGGGCCATAAGTAATTCAATTCCCGAATCTTCAGAGTTGCATCTCATCTGTACAACCTGCTCCCTGAGAACAAAGTTATATACTTCTTCAGTCAATGAAGTTTCAATACGTGAATCATCCACAGTTGACTTGAGATTTTCCACAAGCTTTAGCATGTTCTCCTCAGCCAAAGAATGCGGCAATAGTTCTTCAGCAGCACCTAATATCTGTGCTTTCAGACACTTCACCTCATTTTCCCTGTCATTCATGGAGTTTCTCAGTCGACAGTTTTCAAGGAGAAGGCTATCTAGCCTGAGCTTCAGTTTCTCTACGCTTTCAAAATTTTGGAGCAGAGCAGGAAATCTTTCGTTCTCCACAAGAAAATTCTCCAGCTTAGAAATAATCTCGGGAATCTTCTCCTTTAGCGCGTCTAACTCTTCATCTTTTTTGTGTGTCACAGGGGACCCACTCCTTTTGAGATTCAGGTATTCTCGTCTCAGACTAAAATATTTTTCAGTCTTCCTCTCTAGAACTGACTCATGGTCCCTTTTCAGATGAGTTATGATTTCATTAAAATAATCAACCAATTCTTCCTTTTCCATGTGTTGGAGCTGCTGAAAGTCATAGCTTTCGGCTACATGAATGATGGATTCATCCAGCATACCATTTTCACCACAAAACGAGATCGGTGGAGAATCATGATTTACAAAGCTCTTCTGGTGCAAATGGTCTAAATCTTGCGCAGAAAGTGACTGCTGAATTGCAACCAAACGGGCGACTAAACCAGATAAATCATTGAATTTTTCAACCCAATTCACTGCCTGAATCCCATGTAACTGGACATTTAGTTCCAACACATCCTCCTCTTGAAGACTCCGAATTACACTCTGCATCACAATATCCTCAAGCTTTGTTAATATAACCAGATCATGATGCGACTCACAAAGTGAGGCTTCGGATGACAGCAATAGGTCTTCCATTTTCAAGCAAACAGAGTTAATTGTTGTATTCAGGCTTCCCAGCATCTTATCAACACGCATACATCTTTTTTCCTGTAAAATCCCACCTAACCCCAACAACTCGGAACCTGAACCAACCTTCTTCATAAAACTACCTCCCCTCGCGCAATCAACTTCCTTCTTGGCCTTCATGAATTGCTCATCTGTCAAGATCCTTAAGGCCACCAATTCCTCTCTCATCCGTTCATACTTCGAGCGAAATTCGGCAACAACACACTGAAACCTCCCATTCTTCCCCGTTTCAAGAGATTTCCTCCCAAATGGCAACTTCACATCAAACTTCCCTGCAACCATCTCAGACGATCGAAAATACTCCTTCAAGCAGGCTAACTCCATTTCCTTCACAGCAATTCTTTCAGTCGCCTCTTGTTCGACTGCAAACACTATTCCCTTGATAACAGAATCACTCACCATCCGTGACACCACCAGCCGGTCATTGATATCATCCCAGTACTCTTCGAAACCTTCCAAAAGCACATCAGCTATTTCCCCTTTCTCCTCTTCATCAACAGCCACGTGTACAGTTCCATTTTCATTATTCTTATGCTCTAACCCATTTCCTTTGGGAACAACAACAGCATCCCCATTTCCATGATAAACCATCACCTCTTGGCTCTCCATATCAAATACAGCTTACCTATAAGTAAAGCCAACAGAATTAAATGGAAACAGATTTTAAATGTAACACATAGTTCAAAATACAAAAGGGCAATCACGAACCATTCAAATACCACACAGCAAAAAGACCCTAAAAAAAGAAAAAAAGATGCGATGAACATGCTTGCAGACTCACCACTAATGATTCCTTGTTAAACTCAATTTGCAGTCTAAAGCACACGAAATTGCGTAGCGCTTAGCTTGACAACTTCTGCTACTTAACCAGCTTCCATTTCTTAAATCCAGCTATGAATTTCAGTTTCTAGGGTTTTTGGTAAGTGAAACTTCTTGAGAAGATGAACGAATTTTGGGAGAGAAAATAAATGAAGAACAAAAGGTTGGAAAGAGCGGGAGTGAATGCATGCAATTAATGAGGCCTCATTAATACCTTTATTTACATAATTTGCCATCTTTTTTATTGCACTAGTAAATATCCTGTGCACACAAATGTATACAAAATATTATAAGTAATATTTAAAAATTTAATATTAAAATTTTAGATAATGAATATATTACATTTTTAAAATTTAATTATTAGGAAAAATAAATTAGTGATTGTTTATTATTATGAACAATTGTTTATTATCAATAGATAATAGCAGTTTGATTATTATTATTATTGTTGTTGTTGTTATTATTATTATTATTATTAAAAAAATAATTGTTTATAAGATTCTAAAGTTATTTGACTATGCTATTAAAACAATTTACTAATTGTTTTTAAAAAAAATTTCATGAGATACAAAAGAAAAAGATAATATTGATGTTAAAATAAATAACTTGAAACAATTGTTTATAATTATGCAATTTATATTTATATTGAATTATTATTAGTTGATATTAGCATTAATTATTATATAATATAATAGAAAAATACATGATTGCACTTAATAGGATGTATTAATGTGAGAAGTAAAAAACATTAATGATAAATTTTGTAACCGAAAATGGAGAGAAAATTTTAGAGGTTTTATTAAATATGTTTTCTTAAATCATATTAGCTAGTAATTATATATATATATAGATTTTGATCAATATAAAATGAATATTTTTGTAAGTAGTAATTATATATATATAGATTTTGATCAATATAAAATGAATATTTTTGTAAGTGATGGTTTGTATATTAACAAAATATTATAAATAATATATATATATTGGAGTTCAGTTTAAAAATATGCATGTGATAAATTATGATTGTTTAAACATTGTTTAACCATAATTTGATTAAAGGAAAACTGCCACATAATACTATGAATATTTTATCACTGTTTAAATTCGAAAAGTAAGTTATAGTTTGTAAATTTTATATTGTTGAAGTAATCTACTGTAAATCTATGAACTAATTATTCGATAATTATATTTGTTTTTAAATATATATGTATTTTTATTAAAAAAAATATGATAGAATCGTTTCACATTTAGGGAATTTACTAATTAAACTTTAGAGTCAATTTATTTTTTAGGGTACATCGGTATTGAACTTTAGTATTAATAAAAAAAAAAAATGATAGAGAAGAGAAAAAATAAAACCATATTGGTGTATTGACGTGCAATTAAGGAGGGGGCAATTTGGGTAGGTAAGTTTGTGGAATATAATTCAACCGTGGCATATATTTATTTTGTTGGTATTTATAGAGGTATTGACAGTTGGAACTTACATGAGGGAATCATCTTTTAATAACATGTGGGGTCCTCAAACTATGCGTATTCTCAATTTTGCCAAATTTATCTACAGAAAATCAGTTATAAGAAAATGAATTTGACCCCATTTTTTATGGCTAAATATTTTATTTTGAGTTGAATGTGTGAACAAGAGTTTAGTATAATTACTTACAAATCATGCAAGAAGTCCATATAAGTGCTCGTTAATGGTTTTGATTGGTTTGATAAAATCATTTTTACACTTGTCAGTGAAAAAATTGAAACATTTTATTGGTTAATAAAATCATTTTTACCAGACCTGTTGGTGCAAAATAAAAAATTGAAATATGGTTTGGTGCATGTACACATTGGTTTTGATTGGTTGACATTGACATTTAGATATAAATAGATCCTGACAAAATACACATGATCAACTATTTCAATGTGATTAGTATGAGAAAAAATTATAGGTGGTACACAATTATCATTGCTTCTTTAAATTTGGTACGTCGTGTTTCAAGTTTCAACTAATCAATTTGAATACTAAATGTTTCTTTTGTTTCAACTTAAATTAAAATCTGACCTTTGTCATTTAATAGTATAAATATACATTTTTATTAATAAAGTATGATAGATAGACCTCACCATTAGAAGTTAAACACCATTGGTCCAAACAGAGAGGAAGGAGGGAGAGAGTACATGTAAAAATATTTTTAAAAAAACATAATGAGATTTGATCTTAAAATCCTCTGCATATACTCGCAAAACTTTAATTATGTTCACCAAGAAGAAAAACACCATACATATTACAAAATTTTAACAGAAGGACCAAAACAAAACAAAAAATAAAAATAAAAAATACATTTATACATATACAAACTTAGTACACTAATATTGATGAAGTGGGACCCACTCCAGCTCGAGCTCGACCTCTCCAGACTCGACATTCTGAAGCCTGAGCCAGAGCTCCTGCTTCACCTTCCCGCCAACGATATTCACGGTGGCATCCTCTATAAGGGCATTATCGTAAGATTTCAGCCATTTCCCGATTTGCATGTCCCCAAACATGCCAGCATCTCCGAACGCAATTGCAGAAGTTATCATCGGCTGTATGTCGATCTCCGCCTCTCCCATTATGTCGTCAGCAGAAAACATGTCGTGATCATACACTTGCTGTGTGTTTCAATAATTCAGGGAGAAAAAAGGAAAAACGAATAACGAATAATTTTTATTTTTTTGTTAAAAAGAAGTAGTAAAAAAGAGCCCAATGAATGAATAAATGAAGAGTCTTTGGTCGATCTTAATTTTTTTTTCTTTTTTTTTTTGTCTTTTTACCAGTTTTATCGAGCTATAGTTTCCCGGTACATCGAGCTTCAGTTCCTCGTTCCAGATGGGATTCAAGTTGCTGTTAACGACACTTGTCCTCACTTGCTAAGGAACACAAAAGAGTCGAAGTTTGATCAGATTTGAGAAAATCTAACACTATCCACAAATTCATGTGTAAGACGGTCTAACTGTTAGGTGGGTCGACTTGTCGTCATACATTTTTAACAAAAATGGATACATATGCTATGAAATGTCATAAATTTCTAGAGTATAACATTATAGCTTGCAAACTCATATCTATTAAAAACGTATCGACTGTCTAACAGTTAGGCCTGACTAACAATCGATTTAACAACCGTTGGTGCNGATACTGACCTTCTGTCCAAGAGTCAATATAATATACGGATCACTCGATAGCATATCCCGCACAGCTAAATTCGTGCCTTTCAGCACTTTTACCTTTAATGTCCCAACAATATCCGCCAAGTCATTCTGTGATAAAATTTGGCATTTTAGCTTCACATGGATAAAGACAATATCCAGAAAAGCATAGATACCACAACTTACTGATGTGGGATATTTACCAAAATGCATCTTTAAAGATCAATGGGTTTGTTTGAAATTACGCTAAACCTCATTGGTAATTTTTGTATATAATTAATCCTAGTGATATTGGCATACCCAGTTTGAGCTTGAACTTCGAACCCTATCCACATTCTTCCTGGATAGACTTGCTTGTAAAGAAGCCTTTTCGGAAGATGAAAGAATACGCAGGCTAGGCTTCAAAAACTCTTGATGCTCGTATTTTGACCTACATAGAATGAAAGAAGAGAATTCTTGGATACAAATTTTTCGTTCATGCTTATCCAATCACTTTTTTTTTAACTCTACTTTAACTCAACTCCACTATCCTCAACATTATCAATATAATTAAATAATACCACTCAATCATTCTTACACATTACATCAACTTTAATTCACTATTCATCCACTCACATAAATTTTAACTAACCATCAAGTACTTCACATCATATATCTCCTACTTTTATATCAAATCAACTTTAATTATTTTATTTTAAATATTATTTTAATATAAACTCAAAATCCCACTAATAACTAACCATACTACTTTTTTTTTTTTTCAAAATTAATCATACATCGTATGTGAAATTAGTGAACCGCAACATGCAAGAACCCTCTAACCTGATAAACTTTAGACGTTCTTCGTGGGAAGCATCTGGTTTTGGCTTAGACACCCCTTCGGGAAGATAAGCCTCATAAATAGAATTTGCAGATGCATTTCCACCAACCTCAAACATAGCTTCAATTTCATCATCAGACCAGTCGTCTAAAGTAATAGACAAAACCTGCAATTATAAACGACCGAATGGCGAAAAAAAAAAATCAGAAACTTAAAGGTAAGGAGACTTAGCATATACCTGTGCAACAAAAAAAAAAAGAAATAAATTACCTTAGAAACATGTGCACCGAGGCTTCTATGGACACCACAGCACTTCAAGCACAAAAAGACTCCAATATTTGCTGATCTGAAAATGCACTCAAAGTAATATAGGAAAAACAGATTGATTAATCTTTTGTGATTTTATTTACAGTCGGGAAGTTCTCATTCTATCATGACATTACCCTACGGGTCTCAAATATGTTTAAAAAGAGCAATATGTATTCCATGCGGTATTAACTATTAACAAGAACACATAACTATATCTGTTTGCATCTCACTCCAACCTTTGTCGAAGCAGTGTTAACAACAAGCCAATTATACCAATACTTGTTTCTCAAATCAGGCTATTTTTTTATTTTTTATTTTTTTTCCAAAGCACATATTCATGGAATATATTGACCCATTAACAGGTATTTGTAAAAGTTTCAGTGGCATCTGAGCATAAACTAATAATCTCCAAAATAAAGAGAAAAACTTACGCCCATTTTGGATCTGGAGCACCACAATCTGCACATACACGATTATCAAGTTGAACCATAAGCTCTTTAAGTCTCCTTTTACCTGTGCAGATTTTCCGAAATCAGAGTGATCAACATTTAGGTAGGAAAACTCAATTAAAAGCATTTTTAAACACAAACTAACTCNCCCTCAAAAAAAAAAAAAAAAAGAAGAAGAATAAAAAGAAAACATCCCTAATTCTTCTAAGTGCACACCTGAGGTTGGTCTCCCCAGGGAAGACGGCTGGCGGCTCATTGCTCCGTTTTCACAATTCTACCGTTTGACCGAAATTTCGCCTTCTTAATTCTTGAAAACCTGCAAGTGTTTACCAACAAGAGGATTGAGAAAATGGATCAATCTTGTGCTTGAGTAGAGCTTATATCATTTCAGGAAAAATGGCCCATGTTCTCTCATATAAACAGCACCTATTATATGTGTACCATAAAAAAATTCATAGATAAAACAAATAAATAAGAACAAATTTGATTCCACCAAGTTTATCATCGACATGAGCAAATTCATCACAATAATTACCAAGCATATAACCAATATTCATCATCCGGGCTAGCACTGTTTCCCTAAAAATCCCGTCTTTTCGATAAATTCTCTCTTCACATGGAGATACGTAAGAGCTAAAAAATCGTAGCATCGACATGAGCAAATTCATCACAATAATTACCAAGCATATAACCAGTATTCATCATCCGGGCTTGCACTTCCCTAAAAATCCCGTCTTTTCGATAAATTCTCTCTTCCCATGGAGATACGAAAGAGCTAAAAAATCGTAGCAAATAAATTTCCCGCATCACAAATTTCACGCCAACAGACTTCAGATACCCAAAAAAAAACACGACAAATTGAAACAATACGGCCTCTATCTAGATTGCGTTGAGATAAAGAATCAATTTTTCGCGTAGAAATGATCGAAGGCAATCATTATTACCTTGATTTACCTTTTAAAATGGAGATTTGGGGTGGCTCAATCTGGATGAAGGATGGCGGAGCAGAAAATGTACGACGAAAAATGGAGAAAGGGCCGTTTTCTTGTCATTCCCAAACAACCAATAACTACTTTTTTGCTGTGAATGTTATGTTTTCACTTTTTGGTTATATAAGCAACTTTCTTATTTTATACTATCAAATGTGATTATATTTTTTAATTAAAATGTGCATATTTATAGAAATAGAATATCCCAACTGTATTATTATTATTATTATTATTAGTACTTATAAATATTATTTTTGTTATTTATTGTTACTTCTTAAAACCAAATTGTAAATTATTCTTCGCATAGTTGAGTCTTCTTTCGAGCACCCAAGCATTTTCTGGTCAACTCTCCATTAGTTATTACACAAATTATACTATGAATCAACTTAACAGTTAACGGGTCGATCGGACTTATCATACATTTTAAATAAATTGCATAGTTATACCAAAAAAGTCATGATTTTATTCAACTTCTTATTTAAAATATACTATTCGAGTATATAAGTATACACATTTATTAAATAAAGTATACATACTTACACAATACTATTTAATCGATAAATATGGTTTGGGCCGTGATTGGATATGAGTTGTAACTTGTCATGAAGGATGACAAATACTATTTGAGTGTCAAGGGCATGATTGAATATGAGTTATCACCTGTTTTAATCAATTATGATAGGTTGAATTATTTCATATAAAATCATCTAGCTCAAAATTCAACTGAACCTAGCTCTCATACTTTTTATAAATATAATTAAATAATATCACTCAATCATTCTCACATATAACATCAACTTTAAGCCAATATTTATTTTACTCACATGAATTTAACAGTCTTCTAGAAGTCGCTAGGCACTCGACCAGTGCCTAGCGCCTAGAGCACTGAGACGAGGTATAAAAATCAAGATTAAATATCTTATTTTTTTTTTATTTTTTTCACTATTACAAAATAAAACTATCTCAACTTATAATAAATCAACACTCTAAGTCTAAATAATAATATTAAAATATTATAAAGAAAATATGATAACAAAATAATGTAATTAATATTTATCAAAATTAAAAAAAAATTGAAAAATTGTCGCCGAGCCCGCTTAGGAGCGCCTAGGCTGCCTAGTTGCCTGTCCGATTTTTTCAGCCGATTTATGCAAATCGGAGACAGTCGAGCAGCGCCTAGACGCAACTACTTATCATTTCCATTAGTCTCTCTCATGTTTTTATATCACATCAACTTTAATCAATTACAATTTAAATATCATTTTATTTTAAACTCAAAATGATCTACTCAATTTGCTTTATTCAAAATAACTTCCTTAAAAAAATAAAAATAAAAGAACCAATCAAAACCGGTTGTATTCATATCCAATTGTACGCATCAAGAATTCCAATTCAGACATTCATTTGCATCAAAACAAAGATAGAATTTCAATGGCCATGAAATGAACACCAGCAACAGGTTCACATCCACCACACGAGAGTTTCACAGAATGGCCTTCCAGACATATATCCCAAGTTCATAAACCTTCCCCATCAAGAAACAACAAATCCGAGTTTCTAACTCGAGCACAATCCCGAAATAATAATAAAAAAAATAAAAATAAAAATACAACCCGATCAATAGACTTCAACGTGCCATTGCTTGTTCTTCTTCAGCTTAGATAGCTTCTCGTCCCAGCTCTCCCCTCGACTCTCAGCCACCCTCCTCAGCGTCTCCTGTATTCCAGGCATCATCCCTTTGAGCCCACAAAAGTATATGTGGGCCCCACGATCCAATAGCCCGAAGATTTCATCACTGTACTCCTCGATTCTGTCTTGCACGTACATCTTGCCACCTGTCCTGTTCGTCTGCTCTCGGCTGAGGGCAAGATCGTACCTGAAGTTTTCTGGGTGGTCCCGAGCATACCGCGAGAACTCCTCGTGGTACAACAGGCTGTCGCTGTTGGCCACCCCTAAGAAAAGCCAGGCGAGGCCGCCGAATTTGAAGGTGGGGACAGCTTCCATGAACATGCGCCGAAGGTAGCCTCGGAAAGGAGCCACGCCTGTGCCCGTGCCGATCATGATGTGGGTGGCGTTCGGGTCGTCTTCCGGAAGGAGCATTATTTTTCCGGAGGGACCTGAGGAAAAAATAAATAAATTTGCAGGATAAAAACAAGGTAATATTGCAAAATTATGACTCGTGTTTGGTGTATTTGGAGGGAGTCAAAAAGAAAATAAAACATAAATTCAATAAGGGAGTATATTCGCTTGAGATTTCAATTGAAATTTTGAGATTTGAGACTTTTTGAGATTTTCAAATTTTCAAAAGTCTTGAGGTATTCTATTGAAATTTTAAAAAGTATTACAAAATCCTGAGTTTTTTAACTAATTTGAGACTAGAATTTGTTGAGACTATTTGAGGTTTCTTGGGATTTCAATAGAAAAAACCATATACGGAATCTTACTCCAAATCCCACCACCAAACTTGAGATTTCATAGGATTCCTCTTAAATCTGAAAATCTCAAAAAAGTCTCAAATCTCAAAATGTCACTCGAAATCTCATCATCAAATCTTAGAAAGTCTTAACAAATCATATAGTCTCAAATAAGTTAAATACTTCATAATTTTGTAAGACTTTTTCAAATAAAAAATGAATACCGCCAGACTTTTAAGAAGTCATAAAAAAGTCCTAAAAAGTGTAAATTGAATACACCAAGATTTCTGAAGTCTTTAAAAGTCTATACAAATCCTAATTGGATGCAGTCCCACTAACATTTGTACTTTTACGAGCATGTTTTAGATGAATCATAAGTGCCACCCTTACTAAGCACAATGGCAATTTACCTGTTATTTGAACCTTGTCGCCAGGCTTTGAATCACATAGAAAATTGCTGCACACTCCTTTCTTTGACGGGTCTTCTTTTCCCGTCTCAGGGTCGTAGTAAACAGCACGCCTAACACATAAAGTTGCTGTCTTGCCGTCAAAGAAGTCACCATATCTCGTTGATGCTATTGAGTACAACCGAACGTTATNAACGAAATATATTTACATTGGAAAAATATTTCATACTTAGCCCTTTGAGCAAAACCAAGTCCCATTGGTATATGTTGAGAACAATAAATTACAGAAATCGGTAAAATGGGGGTTAAGTCTTAAGACATCTTTCATTTCATTTATCGAGTTAAAAAACACGAATGTCGCAAAGAAGAAAAGAAGAACGATTAGCAAGAACTCTGAGCACAATTTAGACAACAGCACCCAAGAAAACACCTCCATAAACATGAATACCTCGTCCAAGAAAACATATAATGCTTGGATACAAAATTTTTCAAAAAATTCAATCATTTTTAACCAATCACCTTTTTTTAACTCAAATCTAACTCAACTTTAACTCAACCCTACTATCCTGAATATTATCAATATAACTAAATAATACCCTCAATCATTCTTACACATTACATAAACTTTAATTCACTAGTCATCCACTCACATAATTTTAACTAATCATTCACATCATCTATCTCCCACTTTTACATCAACTCAACTTTAATTATTTTGATATAAACTCAAAATCCCACTGACCATACCAAACCAAAAAATTCAAAGAAAATCAAAACATCTTATATCCAAGCATCCCTTTAAGAAGCTCTAGAATAAAGCAAGACGTGAAAATTTGCTAAATAGGAATTGGATAAAGAAAACATACGGGAGGAATAATCCCGTAACTCTGCCCTTCCCAGTAAGGGACATTTCCCCCATGATCGATCACGATATGACACGTCTCCCCAGGAGCTCTCGGGCCCACGAGCCTCTCGACAGACACAATTGTTCCTGTGTATGGTTCTTTGTTCTTGTACAAATGTAGCGGAGGCTCTTTTGCATCCTCTAAATTAAGGGGTGAAACCGCAACTTTCGGTTCGTTTGCCTGTTGCACTGACATGCAGACCACGGGTCGAGCCCTTTTCCATAAATTTGCAATTTTGACGTCCGAAAATGCACGAGATGTCCGTGAATTTTCGTGTAGGGACACATTTTTGCTCTGCCATAAAATGAGATTTAATTACTATGAAGGAACTGTGTAGATATCTACGAAGCATTGAGGAGCGAGTTTCATCGAGGCCAAAGAATTCAACCCAATGCACACTAAAGGTACAACTAAGAGTAAATGGACAGCAAAATAAACATGGAATATCAGGTTTGAATTGATTAGCAAATCGTGATTCAAGTATCAAGACAAACCACCTACATCAATATAATATACGAAAAAACTACGAAAAAGAACAAAAGAACTAGGGATATAAATTCGTACATAGATCTTCACGGTGGTAGATGACAAGTGTTGATGAAATTCAAGACCAATAAATTTTCTGGGCTAGCAAACTAGACATGTTTAACAGTAAAAAAAAGCTCAAGAACATACTCGCTTATTAACTAAAGTTCCAAATCGACAGACCCAAAATGCAAAAAAGGCCGAATTTAAAACGAATAAGTAAAAATATTAAAATACAAACAATCAAGAACCTTAAAAATGGAATTGGGAACAAAAGCATCATTCTTGACGGAGATCGTTACAGGGACCTGCAAGATGTAAAATTCTCCCAAAAATCAGAAAAACGCAATTCAAAACACAGAAAAAAGGTACATACTTGAGAGATGACAATTGACAAATACCTGACACAGGACTGAATGAGCCATGATCGGATCAAACCAAGCTTCAAGTCAGAGACAAAGAGTCGGCCCAAGAAGGAATAATTACTAATTAATATAGTTTAACAGCAATTAGAGCCAAGGGCTGATGGCTGCTGGGAAGGTAAGTGAGACTGTGAAGAGCCTTTGGGAAGCTGCAAAGGACAGAATTTTGCGAATTATAATTTTCATCTGTTTTGTTTAATTGGGGAGCTGCATTGACTCAGTAGTGACTAGTGAGCATTGGATTTACCGGAAAAATATTGAGCTTACTTAAGTGAGGCCCAACAACCCAATTCCCAAATCATGATAACTGATAAGCCTGAAAATGATGGAAGTTTATGTGGGCTTTAATTTTCAATGTTGAAGGCCGCCCAACAAAATACATACCGCCATGCTCTAAACTAAAGAAGGGTTGGCAAGCCTAAATAAATGGCGACTAATTGGAAATGAGATGAGATTTTTATGTAGAGTAGACATTGTTAAACGAAACGAGTGGCTCGTAATCTCAGTTTATTAACACTCGAGCTTGTTTGATTAACGAACCGAGCTCTCATTAAGCTTATAGTAAAGTTTATCATATAATATTCTAAAATTTTATCATTTACCTGCTCGTTAAGGCTAACGAGCTTGAGCTCGTAGCTCGTTAACTTAACAAGTTGATCTCGCCTCAGCTTGATAAGGACTTGGACTAGAATTCGAGAATCAAGAACTCGAACTCAGTTATGTTCGTTTACATCTCTAGCACTTACTCATTATAAATTGTGGCCGACAATTATCTATAACTAATAGTAAATAAATACAAACTTAACATTTATAAATATTTTTCAATCCTATCTTACCAAAAAGTATTTTTCACTTATAAGGATAAATCATACCTACGAAATTAAAAAATGGAAATGTATGTTCAAAGCTCAGCTCGAACTCGAGTTTGACCGAACTTGAGCCAAGTTCAAGCATGTTATCGAGTCGATCTCGAGCATAGGTGGTAATTTTACTTGTAATTTGTAATTTGAGTCGAACTCGAGCAATCTTTCGAGCATTTTTTATTTCAATCGACCTCAAGCCAAGCTTGAATGATTGTCTTCTTTTGTTGAGTCGGTCTCGAAAACCTCAAGCAGGTATAAAAAAAAAATCAATCTTGCTCGATAAAGTCAATGCTCGACTTGGTTCGTTTCGTTTGAAACCCGAGCTGAAACTCATCTGTCACCACTCACCACTCACCATTCCTTACGATGTTATGCA